TATATATATATATATATATATATATATATATAGAGAGAGAGAGAGAGAGAGAGATAGATAGTTTGTTTCAAATGCAATATATCGCATTTGTACAAACAATGCAACCTAATAAATTGAAATATTTATGGAAATGATGAGAGTTCATTTATTATGATTTAAATATTTAAGGAAGATGAATAAGGTTCATTAATTATGATCAATACTTTATATTAGAAAACAATCAAAACTTCAATAAAATTACATATTTATCAAATTATATGGACGGTTGAGATTGAGTGAGTTACTATGCAACCCGTTACATTTGTACAACAAATACAACTCAATCTCAACGTCCATTTAATTTGATGAATATATGATTTCATTACAGTTTTGATTGTTTCTTAATATAAAGTATTGATCGTAATTAATGAACTCAATCATCTTCCATAAATATTCAAATCATAATAAATGAACTCTTATCATTTCCATAAATATCTCAATTGATTGGGTTGCGTCGTTGATTGTATAAATATGATGAGTTGCATTTGAAATGTCATCTCTTTCTCTCTCTCTCTCTCCATATATATATATATATATATATATGAACCTAATCAAATGAGAACTGATTAGTTTGTGTTAACTGTAAGGTCTAATATTAGCCAATCATTTTATTATATTAATTGTATTATTTTAATTAAGAAAAAGGGTGTATTAGTAATTTTATTAATATTTTTTTAAAGGTTATCAGTCAAAGAGATTGATATTGTTTCCTTATTAATCAAACAAATTATGAAAGTTTCTTTCTATGAAATTACAATTAATAAAATAAATATATAATTCTTACTGTTAAAAGTTATTGAGTATCGCACTAATAACATAGTGGGATCACAGTTGTATTCATCAACCAGATATGGTTTCATAGTGTGTATCACAGTGTATTTTTGTCGTTATACGATGTGTATCACAATATATTTTTGTTGTTTTACGAAGTGTAACACAATATATCACGTAATGTTTTCTTTACCAAGTGTATCACACTATATTTTTTCGTTATTTTATGAAGCGTATCAAAGTATGTATCACGTGTCGATATGGTGCTCGTTGGAGAGAGTTGAGAGGAGAGAGGAGAAATCTAGAATGACTAAAATGTCCTTAATTGATACTTTTAGTTAAAATTACCAAAATTATTAATTTCCTAATTTAACATTTGATTTGTGGTTGAGATTGGATCTCACGGTTACCATAAACTAATCATTTTTTCCTTGAATGGACCCATATATATATATATATATATATATATATATATATATATATATCTATACTATCTTATTAAGCAAATTTATCAAAAGTCTTAAAAGTCTTAAAATTCTAAATGACCAAGATACCCTTTTCACTTTTTTACTTTTTCACCCCTTCCTTTCCTTACATACACTCACCCCTCACATACATTTACCTCTCACATTCAACGGATTTTTTTTAAATTATAATTTTAAATTTACATTTTATATCCCTATAATTAGTTAATTAATTACTTTACGTCCTTTACTTTTAAATNAAAAAATACTTTCCTCCGACGAGGAATGTAAAAATTAGAAATGAAATTATGACGTTTCGACAAGAAGAAGATGAAGCGGTTTTGGATGCATGGGAGAGATTTAAGGACCTTCTACGGAAATGTCCTCACTACGGAATCCCTCATTGCATTCAATTAGAGACATTTTATAATGCCTCTCCAGTTCCGCTAAAATTATTCTTGACGCAACGGCCGGTGGAGCGTTCACAACTAAGACTTACAACGAAGGACATGACCTTCTGGAACGAATTTCAAATAATAATACGGAATGGTCAAATCCTTGTGCTGTTGTTTCTAAGTCTGCTTCAGGTATCCATGAGATTGATGTCATCTCTACTTTAAATGCTCAAATTGTAGCTTTAACTAATTTGGTTAAAAACAATTTACGTTTGAATGGAGAGAATAATCAAGTTCAATCCATTATGTCCAACCTACCTATGTCTGAATCTTGTGTCTTTTGCGATGAGGGCCATTCTTATGAATATTGCCCCGGAAATCCCGTCTCGGTGAATTATGTTGGGAGTCATGCTAGAAATAACCCATTCTCTCCCACATATAATTCAAATTGGAGGAATCACCCCAATTTTTCTTGGACCGAAAATCCTGGACTTCAACCCCCCGGGGTTACTCAAGTCCAAAATCGGCCACAAAATCCCTCGGGATATGGGCAAGGTGTTTTGCACAATTACCAAAATGGACAATCCTCACACTCACACATGCCTAGGCAAAATGCATCGGACGGTAATGGTTCACTTGAATCTTTACTTAAAGGTTTTATAAACCAAACCAATGCAACGTTAAAGAGTTTCAAAACCCAACTCGGCGAATTTGCCGCCGATCTCAAGGGTAGACCTTTATGAACTTTGCCTAGTGACACAGAAACCCCTAAGGGTAAAGAACATATCAAAGTCGTGACCGTGTTGAGTGAGGAGAGTTCAAAAGTCAATGATGATATATGTGAAACTGTCGAAGAACTGACACATCAAAATGAGGTTTCACATGCTTTTGATATGTCAAATTTTCCAATTTTGAGTCCTTCCACGGAAGAAACTCAAAAATCTGTTTCTGTCCAGAAAACAGTCCCTG